TTGAGTATCCGCAAGGGGACACTGTTTTGATCAGAGAAGAAGACAACAGCAGCCTCAGTCCGTCACTGTGACAGACCCATGACAGCAGACACTATCAATAGCACTCTCACATTTACACATTTAATAGCACTCTCCTTAGTTTGTAAGGTGTAGGCAGGGATTACATTTAGATTTTATATGCACGTGTAAATGGTTTAAAACTTCCTTTCTTTATGAATCTCGTTTAATCTTAAAGTGCATTACTATATTTTTCAATACCAATTACTTGTTAATGTTTGTACAATCAGTGGGATCATTTGCAATGCATTTATGTGAATGATAAAAGTAAATTGCACATTTGTCGAAGGAAATGTAAGGTGCTTCATGAAATATTTTGTAAAAGATATGTTCATTAAATTTCAACATTTTCCTAATGTTCTTGTGCTTCTTTATACCAAAACAAAGGAAAGACATTGTTTTGGTTATTTATAGCAAAGTATGGTATCATTTTAATGGTCCGGCCCACTTGACATCTACCGAGGCCGTATGTGGCCCACCATGTGAAATGAGTTTCACACCCCTGCTCTAAAGCCTTTTGCACAATAAGAACAATTAAATTTTAAAAATGTGTTTCTTTTTAGAGATCTGTGCCTCAAGTGAGGCGGCACAAGCAACTTGGTGGGCGGGCCCGGCCCCCTAAGGCCTGCCCGTGGCCACGGGGTCTAGTTGGATAAGTGTTCCAGGAAACACAAAATAGTCAATGTCATTGAATGATACGCTTGGATGATTCTTTTCAGGCTTATTTCCTCTCGTTCGCATGTCTTTTTTTTTTTTTGTGCAGTTCAGACTTCTGCCATACCCACCATGTGTATCCTGGGAATAAGTGTCGAGCACCAGAGAGGCACGATTCTTTGAATTTTGAGGCTGACTGTAAATCATGGAGCAGGGGATTTCCTGAGACTTGTGGATGTCATTGAAGTCCATGAGAAAAAATATTGACTTGAATTGAATACAACTTTATTGTCAAATATCGCACACTTTGTATTGTATATGAAATAAGTGAATGCAAAGATTTTACTAATAACATGCAGAATGACTGACTAAGAAGGTTTCAACGGGTCGCCGCAATCAAAGTCACCTTTTTGTAGTGGAGGGGTCGGGGATGGCTTGATTTATAAAAGTTGGTTGTGCATCATTACTTAAGATGTTGTTTTCTCTCTCTCCCTAGACATCCAATCCAGTAAGCACAAAGACCGGAGGAAAGGCTCTCTGGATGTGAGATCCACGACGTCTCGGGGGAGCGACGGTGAGAGTGATGGATGGAAACTAACACGCTCCCCAGTTGTCTGTTTGAATCAAGTGTTGATTAGGAGCACATAAACACTCTCATTAGAAAGCTCTCGCTAAAAGGGCCTGATTTATCAAAATTCCACATCGCGGGCGCTGAACTGCATGTTTGTGCTTAACAGATAGCATGCGTTGTTGGTGGGAATGTTACAGATGAGCTACTAAGATTATGGCACAATTGGCAACGGTGGAGACGACCCTATTTTTGGCACTTCCGCCACAGACACTTTGGAAAAGCACTGCAAGTGCAAAATGACGTTTGAAGTGATGGAAATGAACGTGTTAGCGGAAGAGGCAAACTAACGCTGGATATTGCGCCGCAATGTTTACGAGCCCTTTTGAGTCACACACAGCTTGCACATGCATAAACAAATTGTGTGCAATTGATGGCGGATTGTCAACTCCCTGTTTGACGAAAGAAAAAGTTCTATTCGATAATTTCTTCAATACTTTAGGGGAAGCCAGATATTTTTTAAAAAGGCGAGTTTTGTTTGATTTTACTCATCCCGAGTACATGGGTATCAAAAAATAAACAATGACTCATTTTGATTTCTGTATTTCTTTATTTGGCAGGGAGCTCACAGCGAAGGCACTCCTCAATGGCCCGAATCCACTCCATGACGATCGAGGCTCCCATCACTAAGGTGCTGCCTCAGACATCTGTGTGCAGTGTGTGCAGATGCTTCGAATCTCATGACAACACTGCGATTATAAAAACCACCATCACCGCCACGAGCCCTTTTTGTACATCCACCAGAAATAGATCCAATTTTCTAGAGGCCAGGCAAGCATGTCAAGAGAGGATGGTGATAAAATGCTCCATTTCATGCACACGAAAGCATGCCGCACCGGGCTGACCCACTATTTCTGTGCTTGATGTAGTCTGCAGGATGGAAGGAAACAGAGAAAGTCCCCAGAGATGGGTCATATGACATGCTACAGTTTCTCTGCTGTATCGTTTGACTGTGTAGGCAGTCCCTGTGGGCATCATCCTCTCCAGAATAAAGCACAGTTAGATAGTAGCCTACTACTGTGCGTGGGTGCGCGGGAGGCCCTGCCATAGGAAACCAATGTAAGATTACATTTTACATTGTTTTGCTCCACTTCAAATTAAAGTAGTCATCCATGAGGCCAGGATGATCCGTGTCCTGAGAGACACCTCTGATAATTCCCACTGCCAGCTTTTGTCCGCAATATTGGTTGAATTATGCAAATTTACAGCAGTAGCCAGACTTACGAGTGCCTTAAATTTGGCGTTTTTCAAGTTGTGAGCCATGACCCTGTTTTCGTTTGTTTTTGCTGTGTTGTGCGACAAATTTTAATTCACGAGGGAGTTCCAGTTATGCTGTCGCCCACGTGAAGAGAAAAAAAAAAGGAGAGTGACAGTCGCCGAAGCACTTTTTTTCATTTCTCGAGCAGGACATAAAGTCAAGGCCCCAAATCCAAAGTCAAAACATTCACAAGCAGAATGGAAAAGATGCTCACACTGGGTAACTCCATGGGAAATGGCCAACCGGAGCTGGAGTCACAACTCATGTCCCTCACTAAGCCGCAAACCTCAAAGGCACATGCCACCATACAAATATTCCAGTATGTGTGTCACTTTCAGCTCAGTTATGCTTCATTACACCGGTTTCTCTTTAAATGATATTTTATTATGGCTTTTGTTTTGCTTTTTATTTACAATACTTTTCTTTATTAAAGAACTTCACTTTTTTTTTTTTTTTTTGGAGGCATGGGGGATGTCTGAAAGAGATGAATGACGTTTCTCTTCATTTTAATGGCACTTATTTCATCCTCCAGGTCATAAACATCATCAACGCAGCACAGGAGAGCAGCCCCATGCCTGTGGCAGAGGCCTTAGATCGGGTACTTGAGATCTTAAGGACCACGGAGCTCTACTCCCCACAGCTGGGCACAAAGGACGAAGACCCTCATACGAATGACCTTGTTGGCGGACTTATGACTGTAAGCGCTGCTCCTGCAGGCCTAACAAGACCGAAATGCTGAATGTGCTTGCTCTCAAACCAAGAAGTCTTCATTTTATACAGAATTGCTTTAACTGTACGCTACATGGTTCAATAGAACATAGCATTCATAAATTTATGACAAAAACCCAGTTGACAAAAAGTGTATGCCTGTTTGACAATCATTGAAATAGCTTACAACTTTACTTAACGGACCAGTTTGGGCTGCTATAGAGTGTGCAGTTTAAATACCCAAATCTTTTCTTGAAATGACTTTTCACCATTTTAATGGTGATCAATTCAGGGTATGACGCAAGTCTCGCGAGAAGAGCCTGACTGACCAAAATTCCACAGAGCGGGCGCTGTATTGGATGTTCATGCTTAACAGATAGTATGTGCTGCTGGTGGGAATATTGCAGATGAGCTTCTAAGATTGTGGAACAATTGGCAACGGTGGAGACATCCCTTTTTTTTGTTGTTGTTTTGCACTTTCACCACTTTGGAAGAGCACTGCGAGTGCAAAAGGAAGTTTGAAGTGGTGGAAATTGAGATTTTAGCGAGATAGGCAAACTGACACTGGATATTGCGCCGCGATGGTTATGAGCCCTTCTGAATAACACACAGCCTGCACATTTAAAGAACGTGGGTGCTAATGATGTCGGATTGTCAACTCCCTGTTTGAGTAAAGAACAGGTTGAATTTGATCATTTCTTCAATACGAAGGCAGATATTAAAGAAAAGGCAGGTTTTGTTTGAATATACGCCTCCTGAGAACGTGGGATTTTTTTGTCTCTGCCTACTATTGAACCTTACAATGTTTTGTTTTGTTTTTTAAATGTGCAAATCTGTGATTCAAATCTGCATTCAAATCAGCCCCACAATTGCTTTCTAAATAATTTTGGTTTCTGCCATTTCGAAACTCTTTCAATGAGCGGAAATGATCGGTTGTTCCCATCGCCCCTCATTTTGCCTTCACTTGCTCCATGCCACAATAACCATCTGCCTTTATGATTTGGTATTTAAATTCAAAAACAACACCCGCAATTGTTCTCAGTTGTGATAAATCGCATTTCATGTGCTAGTTTAATCTACAGTATTTACTTCCATTCCTCCTCATATTTTGCAGGTTTTGTGCAAACAAACCTGGAGTCAATCAAGCCTTTGGTGTTTCTTTGCAACGGGCCTTCGCCAACTCCAGGGCTGCCATGCAAATGACAGCATTTCCAAACATTTTTGCACATCTGACTTCATGCGAATAGTTTTGACAAGGTTGGAGAAAAACAGTTTCACCGTTGAGGCGCAGAAAGATCCGGAACAAGAGTCACTGAGTGACATTACGAGAAAGCGATAGTGAAATTCTGAAGTAGGCCAAGTGCCAAATTGGCAGTCTTGGCAACAACCCACCAGGAAGCGTTAGATTGTCCTTTGTGCTTCTGGAGGCTGAAGAGAAAAGCCCGCCCTCTCTTCCACTCACCAAATCCTCCCCCTCCTTTCTCTCTGTCCCTGCAGCACATGTACCTCGCTTCTCTCGCCCGTGCAGGCTTGGAAACATCCTGTTCTTCTTCGCATCCGATGAATAAGCATGACTTAACTCAGAAATGTACAATGTGTATTCAGAAGGGGATGGGAGGGGTTACACATACATTTTCACCCTCCCTGTAAAAGATGTGTTCTGTGAAAGCGGCTGATAAAAACCAATATAAATTCATGGTCATGAATGGATAGACGTTTTATATGATATGCTTATTTCCGGGCGGTTGTATTCGAATACGTCGTGTTGCGGTGCCATTTCAACTGTAGGCCTTGTTCCGGTGACACTGAACTCAAAGGACCCGGCGAACATTTCGAGAGGAGTTGTCATCTTTCTGATGAGAAAGTCTTAAAATAGCGAGCGTGTTCGGAGGCAGGGCTACCGTGAGACAATGCTCAGGTCAAAGATGAGCTAGTCTCCTCTTCCTTTTTCACTTGTCAAGTAAACATTTCTCTCGCCAACGTACTTAGCCTAAAATATACCGACTGCATATCAGTATGTCAGAATCAGATTTATTGGCCATGTCGGCAAGAAACACACAAGGAATTTACTTCCCAGTTACAACCCGTTCAGAAGAACAAAGACGAAACTAACATGGGGGAGACGGAACGAGAAGTCTGGCGGGTCGCTGTTATGTCTTTTAATACAAAGGTGACATGAGGTGGAATATGTTTTGATGTCATGACATAGCTTGAGGACATATCTTGGATACTGTAGTGATATTTCAAGTCCGACATTGCCGTAGTATAGCAGTGCCATACAGTGGATGTGTTACATTTAAGGACTCTGTCAAGGTAATACAAAGATTTATTTCTAAATACATTATACATGTTTGAAGATGATTGCCGGAAAAAGTGCGCAAAGACTGAGATTTGTGCAGTACTTAGTTGCCGAGCTGTAGCGTTCAGCTGGTTTTCTGCATTTCAGTTCTCCTGATTTTTGGGATGTGGCTAAAACAGGGCCCGAGCATGAGTCACCCACTGTACAAGAAATTCAGCACCTTTGTTGACATCAGCGGTTATCAGGCACAAGTGCGACATACAGATTTCAGGCAGCCAGAGTGTGGACAGGGCCTTGGCACTGGCATGGCCACTTTAGAGCACCTCGTTGTGGGGATATAATCCAGCCACCAGAGGCTTTAAGCGGATGTATTTTTGTGTCTGAGACTTATAGCTATGTGTCGGCATATGAAAAAGTAGCATCCATTTTTCCAGGTTGTAACAGCAGCGTTTGACTGACAGTTGAGTGGCGCGTCGCTTCAAAGCATTCAGCAGACACGCCCACACAGCGTTTGAGAGTGGAGAGAATTACTGGAATTTTTACAATTTTGAAGCTTCAACTTTGTTAAGGTTGTTCACCACACTCTTCTCTGTGGTGTGTGTATGTGTGTCAAATTTTAAGAAGACATTTATTTTCACTTTATAGGGTCTTTAATAAAGAAAAGTGATACGATTTATATGCTTGAATAAACTACAATATAGTATTCTTAAAAATATAATATATGGTAAAATGTATGCCTTCGTTCCCCCTTTTCTACTTGTTGTGATGTTACAAAACTGTAGAATAAAGCTTTGTGCCTGAAATATTTTAGCTTCACTTTTCCATTAATAGAGCTTGTCATAGAGGTAACATTCATTTTGTATTCTGTGTCATTTATGTAACCATATGACGTGTTTTCCCGTGGGTCAATGTATTTGAAAAGTTCCAGTTTCCCTCCGAAAGGTGAAAAGTTACCACTGAAAGTATTTTATTCATTCTGCGTAGAGTACATTCTGTCTAATTCCAACTCCTTTTTCACGATTTGCAGGATGGTTTACGGAGGTTGTCAGGAAACGAATACATCTTTTCCACAAAACGTAAGTTGCAATTAATCAATAATTCAATGTCATTTAGAGGTGAGGTCATTATTTGATTTGAATCTGTTTTCTTGGGCAGGACACAAGAACAGTCGATATGTTTGTATATTTATTTTTAAATCTTCCTTGTCGTTTAGAGCCCCATCACATCCCCAGTCACCTGGCCACTCCTCTTTCCCTAAACGACATCCCCCCTCGTATAGCTCAGACCATGGAGAGTGAGGACTCTTGGGACTTTGACATTTTCAACTTAGAAGCTGCAACCATGAAACGGTGAGGCAACTGTTTTTATTTCTGACCTTGTTCCGAATACAGAAAAATGGTCAAATACTGCCATGCTGGATTTCCTCCTTCCAGGCCTTTGACCTTCTTGGGTTTGAAAATATTTTCCCGCTTTGGGGTTTGTGAGTACCTCAACTGCCCGGAAGCCACTTTGCGCTCCTGGCTACAAGTGATTGAAGCCAACTACCACGCCAGTAACTCCTACCACAACTCTTCCCATGCGGCCGATGTCCTGCACGCCACCGCGTATTTTCTGTGCAAGGAGAGAGTCAAGGTAAATTCACAAATCTGAGACCATTATTGATAATACACGATTGACAGTCATAACACACATGAGCTCCAGTACAAGAGCAGATATCTAGAATTCTGTCTTGACCAAAATGATAATGCTCACTTTTGACACGGACACTGTCAGAGTGGTACAGTTTTGCTTTCACATTATATTTACTATTAGCAAGTTGCTGTAGAACTGAACAGCATTTGTTTGAGATATTTGTTCACCATTTTTAACTGCATAATAGAACTGGTACCTTGTTATGCCCGGCAAAGTTGAGAATGAAATTTCTGTGGGAATTGTTTATGAATGATGAAGAGCTGAGGCTGAACTGAAATGCTCTGGAAGGAATTGAAATGTAATATATATACCGGTATATATCAATGTCAGACATGAAATGCTTTCAAATGGTCAACAAGTGTGAAAAGAGCAGGTAAATTAAAAAACAAAGTCTTCTAAAATTGTGACTTTTATTTTGAAAATGTGGGAATTGTATGAGTGAGAATAGTTTCAAAGATGTCCCGAATAAAGCAAAACAGTTTGAAGTTGGAATGGTTGGAATTGGTCAAGAAATGTGGAAGAAGGAAAATATGTGTTGGCAATGTCTTTTATTATTTTAAATGGGTCTTTTGAAAAATGGGAGTAGTTACCAGTATGTCATGAGTTAACTGAAAAATTTACTGCAAGTTCTAATCGGTCTAGAAATTTGAAAGTCGTTGGTAAATGTGTAAACATTAGGAATAGGAACATTTCCTACAATGTCTTGAATGAAACGTACATTTTCAAGTTCGGACTGATCTCAACTGGTGAAGAAATGTGAAGTGGAAGGTCATCATGTAAAACACAGTGTGTCTTAAATTTGTGAATCTTTTGATGTAAATATTTGAAGTTTACTGTGAAAAGTGTTGAGCACTGGCAATGTGGGAATTCTTGGAACATGGCAAATAGTTTCTAACATGTTCTGAATGAGCTGAAGAGTTTGAAATTGGAATGGGAAAGATGAGTTTTCTTATTAAGGGAATGTGAAGCAAGCAGCTTTGTGAGCTTTCTGTTTAGCCCAAGCGATGAGGTCATTATGAGGTCATGCTCTGACTGAATTGATTCACTCGAGGATCGTTAATGTGATCCTTCTTTGGCGAGATGACAGTCTAGAATTACCTTACCAGATGTTTTTAAAAACTTGGATATGTTGGGTGCTGCACAAACATTTCAGCTTGAAGTCATAAATTAATTCCCAACTCTTTTAGTACTTTTGATAAATCATGGTTCAAAAGAATATCAACATTCAAAACCATACGTGCATCCATTTTGACTCTACAGAGGTGCCCTGAGGTACAAGTGACCCAATTTACAAGGTATTTGAGGTATGAGCCGTCATTCGACTGATTAGTGTATTTATTTATGTACTTATTTTGCTTCGACTCAAACCTGCAAAATGAGCACCGTATGGTAATATTAGTATGAATAATAAATCTTTATTCGACAGGGACAATGCAGTCAAACATAGTTACAAGCTTGCAGCTAGTGTGTTGCATACAAAGGCTATAACTAATGCTAATTCTCAACTCCAGTACCCCTTTGGGCTCTTCCAAAACATTGCAGGACAATATAAAATATATATATGCGATTGGCTGGCAGGGTGTCCGCCCGCCAACTGCCTGAAGATGGCTGGTATAGGCTTTAGCACGCCCCCTGCGACCCTTGTGAGGATAAGCGGATCGGAAAATGGATGGATAGTATCGGTTTATATACACCAGATTTTTTTTTTTTTTTATACATTCACAATGAATATTCATAATGAAAGCGAAAGAGGAATCACCTCCTTTTTCTTAAGATGGTCAGTGTTCCTTTCAAATGCAGTCCATAATTAAATGTTATGAGAAGCATGTTTTATCACATCGAAATTTGGTTATTTCAAATTTTCTCATAAATCTATACTATTGGTCAGTCCACACGTGCGGGTTTTATTTTTACAAATCAAGGATCAATCTAATGTGTTGAAAATGATTTGCGCTTTTTGACAAGACAATGCTAATGAGCGAACACGGCGTTTTGGGGAAAAGTGATGATTTTTGAGGTAGGCTGACAAGGATTCCGCCTGACGCCATTGATATGCTTTGTTAACAATTCAACCTGTGGCCTCTTCATAGAAGGATGTGGCATGTTTACATTACATTTGCATGTTCACTTTTAGTTTTGATAGCAGCCAGGTGGATTTCCTCAAATGTAACATGCGGTGTTCATATTTCCTCTGCTTTTCATGTGGCTTGCTGTAACAGCAAAGCTTAGATCCCATTGATGAAGTGGCTGCCCTGATTGCTGCCACCGTACACGACGTGGACCACCCGGGCCGCACGAACAGCTTTCTGTGCAACGCGGGAAGCGAGCTGGCAATCCTCTACAATGACACTGCTGTACTGGAGAGCCACCACGCAGCTCTCGCCTTCCAGATCACAACCCGAGATGATAAGTGCAACATATTTAAGAACATTGAAAGGTACGTCAGAGCACACTGACAGCACAAAACAAAAATATAATTAACATCTGAGTCCAGTTGTTCAATTCTGTAAATTTAACCACTGGTAAAACCCCTAATCGCCTGTTCAATTCTTAACCTACTGTTGGCAAACTATCCGTTTAAATATGCGTTGTTTAAAACATGGTTAGTCACGTTGTCAGATAACAGCACCTTCAGAGGGTAACAGTGTGGTTACTGTCACTGGTTAGGACAAATATATCCTTTTGTTTAATTTCGGTTTTGCAAAAAAAAAAAAAAGACAGCCAATGAACTTCACCTTTATATGAAATCTTCTTTTGTGAAAAGAGCGGGTGCATAGATAGGCACAAACAACAGTCAGGACCCGTCCCTCCACCACAAGGCAGAGTGAAGCTACCCTTTCGTCCACTGTTGTGACCCTCAATGTACAGTTGCTCAGCCGGGGGGCAAGAAGTATGCCCTCACCTGCTCTGCACCTCTCTCATCATGGGCAACTCCAAAGTGGACCAGAGTCCAACTCCTCTTAAGAGGACTGGTACCAGAACCCAAGCTGTGTGTGGAGCCAAGTCCAACTATGTCGAGTCGGAATTCTCTCTCTCATGCACAAGCTCGGGCTCCTTCCCTCCCCGAGAGGTGACATTCCATGTCCCTAGATTTAGTTTCTGTAGCCAGAAATCGGACTGCCAAGGTCCCTGTCTTTGGATGCTGCCCAGCTCGCTATGCACCGACCCTTTTGGCCCTTACCATAGGTGAAGACCCCTGTTGCTTTTTCAAGCTGTGCCCGACCGGGCCCATGGGTGCAGGCCCTGCCACCAGGTGCTCAACAGTGAGCCCCACCTCCAGGCCTGGCTCCAGAGGGAGGCCCTGGTGACCCGTGCCCGGGCAAAGGGAAACAATGTCCATATATTGTATTCATCATAAGGGGTCTTATGAACCGTGCTTTATCTGGTCCCTTGCCTAGGACCTGTTTGCCATGGCTGACCCTGCCAGGGGCTTAAAGCCCCAGACAACTTAGCTCCTAGGGTCATCACACAAACCCCTTCACCGTGGTAGGGTGACGGCTCATGGAGGGGGAGATTTTTTTTTTTTTTTTTTCCCGAAGCTCAGTATTTAGGCATGTAGTGGACACCTAGGGGGTTATATTATTTACACCATAATGCTTATGTCACTTGAGCAATTTGTTATTTGGGGCTATTGGGCATCAAAATGTTAGCCTTTAAAATTAATCAATACCACAAAATAGCTCTCACTTTCAAAAAGATGGTGACCCCGGCTGTTTACTTTCCAAAAACCCATTATATCATGAAAGGTTTAGCTTTTTACCCCATGAGAAATCATACGGTTTGACTGCCTTATAATGAGGTGAGCGGGATCCATTTTGACTTGAAAGTTGAAGTGACGGAACAATTCCAGGATGTTAACTACTTTCTATGTTAATAAATGCAGGATTGATATACAAAAGGAGTGCTAAGTGCTTTAAATTTTAACCTTATTTGGGGTTCAGTTGAATTAAAAAATAGTAAATTTAGGGCTTTAACTTTTAGTTAAGCTTTTTGAAATGGATTACACAAATATGTTGGATGTCAATAAATTATAAGGTGATGGCCTGTATGTTCATTCCTCTCCAACCCAAACTTTCTGATGCAGTACTACTGTCAGGTTGTGAAAGTGTTGTGTGTTTGTATACCTAATCCGGGTTTAATATGATTCAAGTCAAAGCATAATAGCTCACGTGCACGGCTCCCCAGTGAGAGGGGGAAGGGGGGGGGCGTATGAACAAAGCATCCATTCATCGCCGCCGTCACTGAAGTTTGATTGGACTGCTCACTTTCCGTGTTACTTACGTACTAATCTGTGATCTCTGCCTATCCCTACCTCCAGGAATGAGTATCGACAACTCCGCCAGGCAATCATTGACATGGTGCTTGCCACCGAGATGACCAAGCACTTTGAACATGTCAACAAATTTGTCAACAGCATCAACAAGCCGCTGGCTGCCCTGGAGGAGAACGGGGTGAGATGACCTCACGAGTAGTTAAAATAATGCTGTTTAAGAAATCGAGGTTCATCTGACTTGTAATCTGGTGTAGCCATAGACACATATATCTGTGCGAGGAGAGAATTCTACAACTTGGTATCATCTTTCTCGTCCTTGTGTGGAATGCCCTGCGCAGACTTTTCAAGCTTGTCTTGTCTTTTTAAGGACAGAATGATACGGGTAACTGATAAAGGGCTTATTTTCTCTTTCAAATGTACGCAACAGATGCAAATCAAACTTTTCATTGTTTGATTTGACCTTTCAACTGATTTGACAAAAGGGTGATTGTGCCCTATGTGTGAACACTCAGGCTTGAAGGGCAATAGTGTTGTCAGACCGCAAAGCCTATGTGGTTTGCACCAGTGAATGTTGAAACAAATGAGGGTGTATATCTTGTACATGTGACATGTTGTCATTAATTTGGTGCATATAATCTGTCTGTTTTCAGGGTAATAATGACGAAGAGTCGGTGAAAAGCATTTTGACGTCCCCCGAGAATCGCATCCTTGTCAAGCGAATGCTGATTAAGTGTGCGGACATCTCCAATCCATGCAGGCCTCTGGAGCTGTGTATAGAATGGGCTGGGCGCATTTCAGAGGAGTATTTTGCACAGGTGACATAAACAGTAGTGTGACAACATTTTGAATGAGGGATTGCTGTTAGCTGCAACCGTGATCTGTATTTCTTGGTTTGTTAAAGGGGAAGTCAACTCCAACATTTTCTCAAGAATATTTTCCATGCGGTCCTAGTAGTGTAACCACGGCATCCTGATTAATGTTACGTTTGTGGAATATGAATTAAGCAACAAATTTCACCATTTTTTTTTTTTTAATCCATCTCAGGGGGCGGCCATTTTGACAATTGTGTCGATTGAAAATGTCATCGCAGTTACTCAGGGCTCAGGTAACGACCAATCACGGTTCATCTTCAGAAAACAGGTGATTGGTGAGCAACTGTCGTCATTTTTTTGTCGACAGCAAGGAACAAAATGGCCGTCCACTGAGATGGATTTCGCTGCTTAATTCATATTGTGTTTGTGGAATATACAAACACAATATTAATCGGAATAACATGTTTAGACTAGTGGCCCCACAAGTGTGCTGACCAAATTTTTTTGTTTGAAGAATCACTCTGTCCAGTAAAGATCAGTAAATTCCTTAGCCTTTTTTTGAACACATTCAGTAGATGACTCAAGTTAGCCTGATATGATACAACGTTCAGGGTAACTGACAGTCAGGCATTGACTCAAGCTGTGTGTAAATGTTGAAATAGTTTCGAAATACTTGGAAATCGCTGCACAGCTTTCCGTGACTTTCCGTGACGCGGCGGTTACGACTTAAGACTTGCATAAGCGTGACTTGATTCCATCTCCTTTCTAAGTCCTTGTTTCATTGAATAGACATTGTAATTGGCCATAAAATTACAGTAGCCTTAACAGGACTGTGAAATTGCCGTGTTTTCTGAGAAAAATATAATACCAAGAAAGTGTGATGAGTTATAATTTGAATATGTGAGAACAGTGTGATGATGATGATGATGGTGGATGATGACTGTTGTCTTTGTTACAGACAGACGAAGAGAAGAGGCAAGGCCTTCCAGTGGTCATGCCTGTCTTTGACAGAAACACATGTAGCATCCCAAAGTCGCAGATTTCTTTTATAGACTACTTCATCACGGACATGTTTGATGCTTGGGATGGTAAGGCTGTGATTACTAGAACAATCTATTATTCATGTCGAGTTTATTAAGAGAGGAATGCACGCATTTCCATTATTGAGGAAACTTGTAAAGACCCTGTAAAGTGATTTGTTTCTAAACATGTTATCAGTTGAAGGCTCTCAATTGCTCCAGGTGTGAGTGTGAATAATGTCTATGTGTACCTTGTGATTGACTGCTGCATGCTAACTAACAAATAATAAATATTCTCTGTAGAGAACTATTAATTTTGCTGCATTTTATGAAGGAGTGTCTGTCTCATGAATGGAAGGAGCAGCACAATGTCCATAAATTACAGCCCTAAATGCCTGTTGTTTAACTGTAAAACTGCATGTTTCCGTAAAGTCCAAATATTATAGAGTGATATTTTTCTCATGAAATAAAACTCATAAAAAATTGTCGGGTCTTTTCGGAGGCTTCGCTGGATTAGCATTTCCATTCATTTCAGTCGGAAAAAAATGTGTTTTTCATTATGAGGATAATTGCAAAGGAATTAAACTTCTATCTCAAGGGACCGTTGTATCACACTGTGTGCAAGGCTTTGTCTTGACAACACAATTATTGAAGACGCATGTTTTCATCACCCTCCCAAAATCACAAACAGGGGAGTTTGGCAAATGCCAAACCACAAATATGCAGAGATTAACTGTATACTTGGATAATAATTTCAGATGGGAAATACTGTACATGAATTAGAAAGAAAAGTTGCAAATCTGATTACTGATGATAAACGGTTTCTCTGAACTGTCTCCAGCTTTTGCAGACTTCCCCAATCTTATGCAGCACTTGGACAACAACTTCAAGTACTGGAAAGGCCTGGATGAGCGAAAGCTGCATAGCCTGCGACCGCCTCCAGAGTAGGCGGTGCATTCCCCCTGCTTGTGTTGTGTGGGTGCATACGGAAAACACAGTCCTCCACAGTGACGTTCTGACAGGCAGCTGCAGCGCTGATATCGCCGGCACATACAAGCTTGTCCGAGGACAACTGTGGAAATAAAAAACAGACGTGAACACACGACAGCACCCTTTGGAACTTCTCGTGCCTCTCAGGCATTTGCAGTGTAGCTGGTCATGACATGAGAAGGGGGTCCCGGACAGGCCTCGTGGATAAGCTTCGGTCCCGTGTGCACCATACGGGGCTGTGAAACTGACCTTGCTGTTTGACGAGAAACTGCTTGTTTACTGAACGAGCCAGCAACACTGGAGGAGAGAATGGAAACGTGGTGCGAATAAATGAAGGTGTTCAATACGAGTCAGGTCATACAATCGCCTCCATCCTCCATCCTTATTCACTCAGTAAGGCAAGACTGCTCCTTATGCTCCTGGAGGCTGAAATATGAAATATCTTTTTTTTTTCCTCTCTGCTCAATAACTGCTCATGCATTTCCATGTGCCCAACAGAAATGCATCCAAATGGCATACCGTAACTGGCATGTGGGAGTGGACAAAAACCCTAATAATGCAACAATCATAGGTGAACAATGACATTCTATTTGGAATGCTCACTTATTGAGACTTACCATATTTTCCATTTAAAATATCCTAATTGAACTTGTTGGTCAATATGAAAATAGAGAGGGGGGGGGAAAGCCAAAGCTAATCAATTCAGATAGAACTCACTATTATCCATTTTATTTTCTTATCAAGAGTACAGTACCAATTCCAGACTTTTGTATTGCACTGTAAACCCTATTAAAAATGTTTCCGTTTCGGCGGGTTGGGTTGTTGCATTGGAGAACAGGCTGTTATCGTTGATCATCAGGAGTTGTCGTGTGGATGCAATCATTGTTGCAACAAGCCTCACTCTCTGGTTTCATGCTGTAAACCGCTTGACATTTGACAACAGCAGAGATATGTGAAAACCATTTGGACTTGAATTTTGTTTTTTTTTTCCTGACAGAATTTTTTTTGTATCTGGTTTATCCTACTGAAAAGACTTGCCTTATTTTATACAATATTTATACAGTACATCCCACTGTGCAACTGCAAGAGACATCTGGAGTTTTTATTATAACATAGTCAGGTTATGTTCAAATAAATCTCAATATTTTTATAGACTTTTACACTGGATTTGCAGCAAATGAGATCAACCGTTATAGTGATCTGAATACCTGTGAATTTGGTGGTCACACAGAGCATGTATATCGAAAAATGAGTTGGTTAATGACAGAGGATGTGCATCATAGAACTGTCTATCACTGTTTTGAAGCGGCCTCACATTGATTTCAATCCCAACGTCATTCTATTCTGGCCACTTGTCTCCAGCATCCTTCCGCACGGACCCAGGGAGCAGATTCATCTTCAAAGGTGGATTCAGTTTGATTACTAATGATATACATTGAAAAGATTGTTGCTGATGAAGAATATTTCCTTGTTAAACAGTATATAAATGCCATCGACAAATAACGGTTTGTCGTATGAAGGCGGTTACTTTGTATGTTAGTTTTTTTTTCTCTGATGACACAACTGTACACTCAATCAGAAGTCTTGTTTCTTCCTTCTGATTCACATCTTGGTCTGAGGGCACGGAAAAAATAGAAACTGTTCAATGAAAAATAAAAAGAAATTATTCAACGGCGGTGCCTCTTCCCACTCATGTGACTGCTTTTCCAGTTATCATTTGCCCTAAGTTATTTCTGTGACAACAAAGTTGCTGTCAGGAAGCAAACCTCAAATTTTGCCGCTGAGACACATGGGACAAATGTTTCACTCATGATTTAGACTTTAAATACTGAATGATGATCACCAGATCTGCAGTGAAAGAAGAATGGCCCACTGCACATCTGCTGCTGGTAAACTAACTGCACCACTGCTAAATTAAGAATCACCAGTCATTAATATTTATACCCTCTGGTAGACAGGAGTGGGCATATCTCATGTTGATGGTAAAAGATTTGATCACATCCACGGGATTCTTCCAAATAGCTTGGTTGAACAAAACCCAGATGTTGCGTTGGAATTCATGATCAGCTCGCGTCCCATTGTGAAGTGACGCAATACTCATAAAGTAAAAATGTTGCTTTCCCGATAGAACAGTCTGTCGTCTGTGGGGCAATTTGATTTCTTTAATTTATGTTAACTGGTTTAGGCATTCAACATAGGTAATATTATGAACATAAAGCTTTATCTTTATAGTGAGCGCCTACAAGGAAAATACTTCATATCAATCAATTACAAAATACCGGTACACTGGGCAACACAATTTTTGTTGAGGTATGTCTGACAGCCGTTTAAACTGAATTTTGGGTGTGGAATCCAAAACTGAGCTCGAATTTTCTCTACCACTTCAAGTGTTTGATTCATAGATCCCCCATTTACTTAAAAAAATAGAATGTGTATATACTACATGTAAATAAAATGGAATATGGTTTCAAACTCTGAAAACAAAAAATACAGCATCAAACAAAATAGAACTTTAAACGGTTTGCCCAAGGCGACAAGGTTAAGAGAAATGCAGGCACCAATCCTCTAAATTTCTACCATGTTAGATTTCTGTTTGATTAGATTAGATTAGATAACCTTTATTTGTCCCACACTGGGGAAATTTGCAGTCTACAGCAGCAAAATTGGGGGGAAGAAAAAAAAAAGCAGATACAGTATTGTACAGTATCACTGTCTGCTAATTAAAACATACATGCTCAAGGGCAGCTGGTGAAAGTTCTGTAAATAAGAACTGAACACACAACATATTTTTGTAATAAAGAACTGAAGCCACAAAACATAATGTTTTGTAATAAAGAACTGAACACACATAACATATTGTAATTAATCTGTCCATCTGTGGTGTGATGTTTTGCTCTACAGTACTTTATATTGGGGTTTTTTCTATATTGGTGCAATACTTCGCATATGCACAGTGGTACAATGTTCCCTGCATCTTCACAACTCATGACGTGTGCGTGTGTGTGTGTGTGTGTGTGTGTGTGTGTGCGTGCGTGTGGGTGTGCGTGCGTGCGTGTGTGTGTGTGTGTGTGTGTGTGTGTGTGTGTGTGTGTGTGCGTGTGTGTGTGTGTGTGTGTGTGTGTGTGTGTGTGTGTGTGAATGAACAGATGGGTGGACGGACCTATTTGCTCAAAGTTTTGCTTTGGCTCCATCTTGTGATATCTTGGTGCCATGGAACTGAGTTGAAGTGAGTTGAGGGGCCTCATTAGCAGTGCTTTGCCGCCATCTTGTGGCATCTGTTGGCACTGTTTGCTGCAGGATCCTGTCTTCATCCTTGACACGAGCTTTCCTAATGACCATTGGTTGTTCATCACTTTTCAAGATACATTTTGTGATACGGCGGGAAAATATGGTAATCTATACAGACTAAACAGTTGCACAGCACGAAAAAATGGTGAACTCACTACAATATATGAGGCACTACTACAGTCTATCGTGGATATGGGGTGATTCCAAACACAACCATAGGGTTTATAAATAAAAGTTGAGGTCCACTGGAGAAGGTTACGTAATGATAAAACTCAAGGGCTCTCACTTCCGCCAGCTCGTGCTCATGACTCTGGCGTCACAGGAAGTTCGTCACAGCAAGTCGCCGGCAACGTTGTCTGCGATGTCTGCGGCCGTTGTCCAGCATCGTTGCAAACTCTTTTAACTCTCATGCTGGTTCACGTAGTGGTGCTATGTCTTCAGGAATGGCCGGGCAAACGCCGTAAGTATCTTTTATCCTTCGTATAGAAGGGAAAGGGAATATGAACCAAGTCAGTCAACTTGCTAATGTATCATGGTTTAGACCCACGGCAGTGCTAACGAGTGTTCGTGGCCTGCTAGCATTTGAGGAAATCCCATGCTGCGTGCGTGATACAACCACGATGCCTAAAATATAACGTAACTTAATTGCACACTCTTAAAACGTGACTTATAAAACTGCGAATACTTTTCCGTACGGGTTCTAGTACGGAAAAGTATTCGCAGTTACTTTTCCGTACGGGTTCTAGTACGTTTGGACTTAAGGTGGTGATTTTATTACTGTTGTTTGTTTCCGAGACTCATAATAAAGTACACACGATTACACGCGCTTCCCCGCAAAACAAATGAACTACCCATGAATCTGGGTTCCCGTGGGTCCTGGAAAATGATTGACCAATTTTCCAGTCATAGAAAACACTTGGAAAATGAAGGGAAAAAAGTCAAATGTCTTGGAAAAGCTTGCGTTATCCTGGAACGTTTTTTTTTCTTCCCTCTACTTCTCACTGCCTTGTGGGGTTAAAAAGAGCTGTCCTGTTGCGACGATCAAAGGTTTTATGTTACATGTTTTAGCAAAATAAAAGCGAGCCTTCGACAATATTGATAAAGTACCATTGCTATTTGTAGATGTTTTCACAGAAGAGTAGCTTCTGAGGCGCAATTCTCGTAATTCTCCTAAAATCTCATTAAATGTTCTCTAGAGACTCGCGACAGGGCATGAAACTGTTAAGAGGGAAACGGGCGGGATCACCCTAAATGGTGGCCCCACGTCGGCCCATAAAAGTTTGGTATGCGGGGAGGCCCGCGGGCTTTATTCTCTGCCGTTCGAGCCCCTGCCCGGACAGTGCGCGCTGGCCCTGCTCTCTTGCGGGTTTTCCGCCTCTGAAAGAATCTGGAATTTGAGCCTCCTAGCTCAGAAGGTTTTCGGGTTTTGGTGTTGCAACTAATTTATCATCATTAGGAACTCGAATACCGGTATGTCTTCAGAGAGTTTCAGGGCCCTCGGGCGGGGGTACCATTTTGCACCCCCTACTTCAGGCTACTAGTTGATCATGCGTGCACATGAAGGGAATGAGCATGTTACCCAATCAATGGATGTTTAATTAACATTTTGAGCCAATAAAAACTTTGATTATCCACCTCCTTCAACTTTGCATATTGGTACTATTTTTAGATATTTTATGACAAAGTCCGGAAAGTAGATCAACTGTTGTTTTGACTGCCTATTTATGTTTCTGGCAGTAAAAACGGATCCCCATAAATTACCTTGATCAATTGAAACATTAAAATGTGATATTAACACCCAATACCACTCAGTTATATTGACATAACAAAGGCCGAACCCTTTCCCAGCTAGTGCACGATGCCATTTTTATGATAAATGAACCCTTCCCTGTATTTGACCAAACTCCACCTAATTGAGTTAAATTCTTTCAGTTACAGTTAAAATGCATCTTTCAAAGAGGAAAGGGAAGGACTAAAATGAGGCAAAATTCCAAAGACAAACATCCTGGTTGCTTGACTATAATTGCCCTGAACTCTGATCTGGAAGTCAGAAGCTGTTTTGACATTACATTGTCTGTCTGGCGTGCCTGACGTTGTCACTGCTTTATTTGGCTCTGTGTTGATCATTGGCTCGTCGGGCCTGAAGCTACTTCTGATTGGCCTGTATCCATTTGTTTGTCTGCTGCTCCTCCTTAATCACCTGGCTGAGTTTCATCACTCAGCTGCATGCACCTACGCACCAAACATAGTTGAAATCCTCTTAGTCATGCTGAATATTACTATGACTGAGTTTTTCTTTGTTTCTTTGCCAACTTTGTAAACGAAAGCGCGAGAGCATTGCGTGCTGCCGGCACACCTTCACCGCCTCAGCCTGTTTGACGGCAGCTGCCGGAAAAGTCAGTTACGACCGGGAAGTGACAGAAATGGTCTCATGAGGTCTTAAATGAATGCTACCATCATGTGACCATGTGATCACAAGAGAGGCCCAATACCTAACCATTATATTGCATGCAAAACAGGATGCAATTAAATACTTGCAAGTCATCGTTGTTCTCAATCACTTTCTGCTTGACTGCAGGGCAACAGCACATGGAAAATATGTATGAAACCGTGTGACCGATTTCTAACAAAAATTTTTGATGGTGCAAATCCACTTTTTTAACCCCCGGTTTTTGTGGAGCATCACAATTTTTACATTCAAATTAAGCATTTGGTGCCTTTGCGGTGTCAGATATTACTTCTTCTCTGTGCTCCGTTTGCTGATTTCTCCAGTCGGCATTACAGGTTGTGGCAGCGGTCCAGAGTCTCCTTAAACTTTGCTTTAATGAAAGTGATCTGTCGCTCACACATGCATGGATAGATGGATGGATGGACAAACACTCCCAGATTAGAGTTTGAGGCATGTGTGTGTGTGTGTGTGTGTGTGTGTGTGTGTGTGTGTGTGTGTGGGTGTGTGTGTGTGTGTGTGTGTGTGTGGGTGTGTGTGTGT